GGCCTGGGGCTAGGGGGAGGGGCGGGGCGGGGCCTGGATCAGGGACGAGGCCAGGATTACGCGGGGCAGGAGACTGAGGGGCGGGGCCTGGGCAGGGTCAAGGGCAGGGCGGGGCCAGGACGAGGCCTGGGCGTGCGGGGGAGGGGAGGGGGCCTGGGCGGGGCTGTAGAGGCAAGACGGGGGCGGGGCCTGGGGTTGGGGCGGGGCCTGTGAAAGTCGCCGGGCGGGGCTGGGGGGCGGGACTTTTAGACGGAGGGTGGGGTGTGGTTCTCGGAGGCTGTGGGTGAGGAGGGTGGGATGTAGTTCTCAGGGGCTGTGGGCGTGGTCTGCGGGCGGGACGGGGCTGTGAGGCCCCAGACCCCTGCCCCTGCCCCTGCCCCTGCCCCTGCCCCTGCCCGATGCCCGATGCCCGATGCCCGATGCCCGATGCCGACCCCTCCAGGCGCTGGGGAGATCCCTTGTTGGTGCGGGTGTCAGTGCGAAGCCCGTACTGTGAGTCCCTCACAGGCCCACTGCCAGCAGCCCCCAAAGCTGGTTAATGGGGTTGGCCTCTGCCCACCTTAGTCAGCTCCCACCCTTACTCCACCCCGTACCCTCCTGTGTCTTAGGGTCCATGCGTGGGCATCCCAAGGAGGGAAGGGAATGTGGGGGTGAGGGCATTTAAGTTGACCTGAGCCATCCCTAGGGCTTCTTAACAGTTTTATTGTGGTGTCATTGATGTATGATAAACCACATATTTAAATCTGATGCATTTTGATATTTGCATACACCCGTGAAACCATCATTACAATCAACGTAATAAATACCCCAAAGTTTCCCCCTTTGTCATCCCTCCCCTCTGTCCCCCATCACCAGGCAGGCACTGGTCCACGTGTCAGAGTGTTGTAGGGTTAGGGTCAGGATGTATTATCATTTTTATATGTTGTTGGATTATTTAGTAGAGATAGAGCTTCTGAGGTTATTTTTTTCCTTGACTGAATGTTGGTAGTTTGTGTCTCTCAAGGAATTGTCCACTTACCTATGTTGCTGAATTTATCAGCATAAAGTTGTTCATAATATCCTGCTATTATTCTTTAAATATAGAGTATGAAGTGACGTCGTCTCTCTCATTCCTGATATTGGTAATTTGTGTCTCTCTCTTTTCTTTTACTGATCAGTCAGGATAGAAGTTTATCAATTTTACTGATATTCTCAAAGAACCAGTTTTTGGTTTCATTGATTTCTCTATTTTTTCCCTTTTTGTTTTTTATTGACTTCCACTTTGATCTGTATTTTTTTCTTTTGCTTACATTGGATTTAATTTTCGATTCTTTTTCTGGTTTCCTAAGACAGAAGCTGAGCTCACTGATTTGAGACCTTTCTTCTCTAGTATAGGCATTTAGTGCTACACATTTCCCTCTAAAGTCCTGCTTTAGCTGCACCCCAGAAATTCTGATATGTTGTATTTTCATATTCATTAAGTTTAAAATACTTTTCAGGGCCGGCCCTGTGGCTTAGCGGTTAAGTGCGCGCGCTCCGCTACTGGCGGCCTGGGATCGGATCCCGGGCATGCACCGACACACAGCTTCTCCGGCCATGCTGAGGCCACGTCCCACATACAGCAACTAGAAGGATGTGCAACTATGACATACAACTATCTACTGGGGCTTTGGGGGAAAAAAAAGGAGCAGGATTGGCAATAGATGTTAGCTCAGAGCCAGTATTCCTCAGCAAAAAGAGGATGATTAGCGTGGATGTTAGCTCAGGGCTGATCTTCCTCACACACAGAAAAAAATACTTTTCAATTTGCCTTTTGTTTTCTTTTTTGACCCATGGGTTTAGAAGTGTGTTATTTAGTTTCCAGATATTTGGGGATTTTCCAGAGATTTTTCTGTTTTTGATTATTAATTTAAGCCCATTGTTGTCAGAGAACATACTCTGTACATTTTGGATCCTTTTAAGTTTATTGAGACTCATTTTATGGCCTGGAATATGGCCCGTGTTAGTAATTGTTATGTGTGCACTTAAATGTGTGTTCTACTGTTGCTCAGTGGAATGTTCTATAAATGTTGGTGAGGTCAAGTCTGCTGATGGTGCGATTCGAGTTCTATCTAGTTGCTAATTTTCTGTCTGTTGCTCTGTTAATTACCAAGAGAGGGTGTTGCAGTTTCCGACTATAATTGTAGATGTGTCTGTTTCTCCCTGCAGTTCTATCAGTTTTTGCTTTGTGCATTTTGAAACCCTATGTTCAGATATTATATCCTCTTGATTAATTGACTGCTTTATCATCATCAAATGGCCCTCCTTATCCCCACATTCTCTGCCCTGTCTGACATTAACATAGCCGCTCCAGCTTTCTCTTGAGTAGGTTAGTGTGAGAAGTCTTCCTCCATCCCTTTACTCCTAGCCTCCTGGGTCTTCATACTTAGTGTCCTTCAGGATTTCCATAGCACAAAAGTATCTTCCTTAATATATTTATTAACAAAGGGAAAAATAATAACTTTACAGTGGAGAAACCCAGCAGAAATCACCCTACCTATGTGACCAAGGTTAATATCATCAGTAATAAGACAGAGGGACATCATGTAGCCCTCAACACAACAGACTGGGAAAGACACAGCATCACTTCTCTGGTATTCTTGCCAAAAATGCACAGCCTCATCCCAACTGTGAGAATACCTCAGACACACCCAAAGTGAAAGACATTTTACAAAGTGACTGATGAGTACACTCCAAAAATGGAAAGATCACGAAAGACAAGAAAAGACTGAATCACTGTTACAGACTGGAAAAGACTGAGAAGAAATAACAACGAAATGCAACGTGGGACCCTGGAGTGGACAAGGAAGTTAGTGGGAAAACCGGTGCCCTTGAATACAGCCGGCAGTTTACGGTATAGTGTGTCACCCACGGCGCCGTCCTGGCTTTGACGGCTTGCCTTTAAAGGGGTGGTTGGTGTGTTGGCTCTAGTCTGTCTTCCTCGATTTCTTTCCCATGTCCCTGGCTCTGTTCCCTTGTCTTCTTTTCCTGCCTTGTTTTGGATTGAGTATTTTTTCAGTCCACTTTCTCTCCTTAGTTGACTCTGAGCTATAACTCTCTGCTGTGTTATTTCAGTGGCTGCTTCAGGGCGCGGTGGTGGCTGTCACTTCTCATCACAGTCTTCCGTCAGGTCACATTAGACCTCTTCACATGCAGCCTAAGAACCCCACAGCGGCGTGCCACACCCGCTCTGGGCCTGTGCTGTTGTCCTACAGTTTATGTCCACACGTGTAGGAACTCACAATACATGATTTCTGCTTTAAACAGTCAACTATGTTTTAAGGAGATTAAAATAATACAAGCCGTGAAGCTGCTGGTATGTTATTGTATGGTCAATTTAAGAGGTGCCAAAGGGGAGCCCAAAAATTGTGCAATATTTTTAATATTTAAATTAAACGAATTAACATGGTTACCACCAAAAACTGCCATGCAGATGCAAGTGAACCCGCAAACATTATACAGAGTAGGAGAGTCCATTCACTCAGAGCTCACACTGTATGGTTCTGTTTATGGAACGTTCAAGAACAGGCAACCCCCGAGGATGGTGGAGGCAGTGATGGGGATGGGGCACGAGGGGGCTCCTGGAGGCTGGGTGTTCTATATCTTGATCTGGGTGCTGGTAGTTAACATAAGTAACAAATCCATCAATCTGCTTGCACTGCAGATTTGTGCAGGTGACTGTGTGTGTGCTCCGCCTCAAAAAAAGAGAACAGTAATGTGCCGGACCAGTCTGCTCTTCACAGGTGATTACATGTGTTAATGACGTGCACCCTGGTGGGTGGATGGATCGATTGATCCATGCAGGGCGCTCATGGGAAGTTACGTGGCCAGTGTGTCTTCCCTGTCCTCACAGTTCCACGGCCCGCCTCACTAGATGATAGCGTCAGAGTTGCCACGGGAGGTTCTGGCCCCCCACCAGGCCCAGGCAGCAGGGCCCAGTGAGAGCCTGGCCCACTGTCCACTCTGGACTGTGAGCCTGTGCTCTCAGAAACACCAGGAACCTTCTAATGCCATCCTGGCCACCTGGTCTGACCACTGTAGCCGTTCTTCTGACTGTAATTGGGCTCTGCGCTGATTATCTCACCATTTATCCACCCAGCATCCCAGCTTCATGGCCCCAGGGATAAAATGCAGGGCTGCAGCTGGTTAATTGCTTCCCCACCAGGAAGGATATTTTGCTGGGCGCTGTCTGAGTGCATGTCTCTGGGGATTAGTGTGGAGGAGCAGAGCCTGGGCCAGGACGAAATCAGGCAGATGAATAAAACCTCCTGGTGAGGCGAGAACACTGCCCTCCCCACACAGAGAGACGGCAGGCGGCCTGGGACTGCCCTCCTTCTGGGCCATGCGCTGGCCACCTGCTCTCCCACCCTGCCCTTCCACAGGGCCCAGCCGCCCCAGCCTCCATGCTTGCCCGGGGTCCTGCCCTCACCCAGCCGCAGGGACCCTCAGACGGGACCCCAGCCTACCGGGCAGCATCGAGGGCAACCGGCTCACAGGCAGGGGCTGGAGCAGGACGAAGGGAAAGGACCCAGGGCAGCTGAAGGGAGCCGACTCACTGAATGGGAACCCCGCAGTGTGCCAAAGGGCCTCCATGGGACGATGGATGGCCTTGGCAAAATTATCCTCAGCAGCTTTGGCCAGACTGAGACTTCCTCCACGCTCCCAGAATTCCTGGTTCTCTCTACCTGATCTTGAAAAACCAACTGGAAAACCAAAAAGAAGGCCTGGCAGTGGTTCCCAGCAGGGGGCCTGAGCACCCCTGGAGCCCTTCCCCGAGGCCCCGTCAGAACCAAGCTGTCTCCACTCTCCTACGGGGAGCGGAGGGCCCGTCCATTGCCCAGGGAATTGGATGGCTGCCTTCACTGTATCTCGAGTTTCTCACGGGGATTTCCAGATCAGTCTCGTCCAGGTGCTCTCCCTGCACCTACACCCCACCCCGGACCTTGAAAGTCCAAGTTTGGTCGATTTTGTTAACCTTTCTCAAGATCCTGTTTTTTCATGCTGATTCTTTATTTTTCCCTCCTGCATTACATTCTGACTTTGTCCCTGCCTTAGTCCTTGGATTTATGTTGTAGCTGGGTTTTGAGCTTGAGTCATCACCTTAGATAATTTACTTCCAGTCTTTTGATTTTTAAATAAAGGCGTTTAAAGGTATAACTGTTCCCCTTGAGACTCTCCAGCCGCCTGCCGAGGTTTCGACCTAGGACCCTCTCCCTGTGTGGCTTCTGGTTCACGCCCCACCAAAGGTGCGGGAGGTGGGGGGTGGGGAAGGGCATGTGGTGGCCCCCGGTGGTTCTACCCAGACAATCCCAGCCCACAGTCCCCCCTTGGCCCGAACCCCATGCAGCTGGGGGTGGCCCTGGGACTGAGTGCTGACCAGAGTCGCAGGGACAGTGTCTGTCCCCCAGATAGAGGCACTGCTGCTGCCCATTGGTCCTCCTGCCACAGAAACAGGAGGCTCCACAGTGAGGACAGAAGACCCTCGAGGGAGGGCAGAGGGCAGAGAGCACCATCACCCAGCAGCGCCCCGCCCTGGCCACCACCTCGTCTCCCTCTGAGCTGGTCAGGGGACTGGTCACTCAGCATCCCAGGTGCAGGCGCCTGGAAGCACTAGAGGTATTTCTGTCCTCTTCTGCTGTACGGCCACGTTCCCACGTTCCAGTGTTACCTTTCTCACACTGTGGCCAGGGCGTGTGGCCTCGGTGATGGGCTGCCTTTGGAAAGCTGTGGCAATCCCCTCGATGGTGTGGTGCACACTCAGCCTTTGTGAGTGTCCCGTGTGTGTCTGAGAAGCACATGTGTCCTCGGGGCTTTCCTGTTGCTGTTGTGGGGCGGGTACAGAATCACGTACACAGGTAGAAAGTTAGCACTTATGAGCAGTGTGTTCCTGCATGTGCTGTGTCTGTATTTATGTTACACAGAATTTATTGTACAAATATAAATATATACCACATAATTCATAGGTAAACCTATGTGTAAATTATAGTTTATATGTATAATATATATTTCTACATAAATACACACGCACACATGGGTATACACACACACACACCAGAGAAATACACACACAGGATGACCCCAACCTTGTTGACCACATTATTCAAATTCCGCCCGATTTTCCTTTTGTTTCTTTGATTCCTTGATTTCTGAGAGAAGATCTCAAATGTTACTCTGAATTTGCCAATTTCTCCTTGAATTTCTATCAGTTTTGCTTTATGTATTTTAAAAAGCTATGGTGTTAGGTAGATAACAGTTCACGAAAGCGCTCTCTCTCGATGGATTTACACCTTTATCCAATTGAAGAGTCTTCTCTGTTCCCTAAAGGACACACTTGGGCCTGAGTTCTGTTGGTGTGCTGGAACTGTTTGCACACCTTCCTTTCTGAGAGCATCTGCCCGGTAAGACTGCCCACGTTGTCAGCTATTCAATGTCTCTTTTGTTTTGGCTGATATAGGGAAATGTATAGAAAACAAGAGAAATCCGTTGTGTCCTTTTTTTGTCGCAATATGAGAATCCCAGTTTATGTGTGCCGTGATGACTACCACATTTTGACTATCTCCTCCTGTTTTATTTCACGTTAACCATCCTCAATAGATATCTTTTTCCTTGAGTTTCTTACTCTTCCGTTTAACTCCCGTGCGGGTTTAAAGTCCTTCCTCTGTTTCTGTCCTTCTCACGGCCGCCCTAAGCTGCAATCCACGCAGTCTCCCTGCCTGCATTTGTGAGCCCACATTTCCCTCCCAGCGCTGTGTCTGGTCGGCATCTATTTCTCACTCCTGAGCCAGAAGAGACATCCACTGAGCTCGGCTGGCCCGCGTGTCTCCTCTGCCAGCTCCTGGGAGACCAGCTGGGATTTTAATTCTCAGCTATTAAATTTTCTTTTCACATCGTGCCTCAACAATTACAAGACTCAGCCATACATTTTAGTGGTTCCTTTGCTCACCACGGAGCTCGGTCTGTGTGTGTGTGTGTGTGTGTGTGTGTGTGTGTCTGTGTATGTTACGAACTGAATGGTTGTGTCCCTCCCCAAAATCCTGATGTTGAAGCCCTAACTCCCAGTGGGGCTGTGTTGGGGGGTGGGACCTCTAAAGAAGTAACTAAGGTTAAATGAGGTCGTGAGAGCGGAGCCCAGAAGGATTAGTGTCCTTATAAGAAGAGAAGAGAGAGCGGGCTCCCTCTCCGCGGGCACACGGAGGACAGGCCGTGTGAGGACACAGGGAGAGGGGGCCCCACAAGCAGGAAGAGAGCTCCCTCCAGGAACCGGCCCTGCGGCACCCTTGTCTCGGCAGTCCAGCCTCCAGGACACGTGTCTGCTGCTGAAGCCGCCTGCCATGGCATTCTGTCATGGCAGCCAAGCCTGCTAAGTCAGTGGGTTTTGTTTTTCTGTAATTCATCTTTGAGAAATTCTTTCATAAAGGACCCACGAGTAACACATTTTCTGTGTCCTTACGATTCTAAAATGTCTTTATTTGGCACTATTGCTTGAATGCCAGTTTGGCTGGCTGTGTGATTCCAGATAAAAACCCAGGCCCCCACAGCACCTGAGCACCTGCGGGGCTAGGGAGCAGGGCGAAGGCAAAAAGATGCCACGTCCCAGCTTGGGGGCTTGCGGGCGACGCCGACGCCTGGCTCGAGGAGGGTGAAGAGGAGGGAGCTGGGGGGTTGAGGGATCAGAGGGAAAGCTGTGAGTTTGGACCTAAGGGGCCTGCAGGGTGTCCACAGGGAGACAGCCACGGGCCACAGGAAGCTTGGCCATGGGGTGGGAGAGGTTTCCGTGGCCCAGACACACCCCCCTGACCGCTGCACACGTCTGTAACTTTATTTTCTGGTTCGCTCCTGATGGTTTATGCTGATGGCTTGTGAGTCACTGACACTAAACCGGGTGGCCCCCCACCATCCACACCCACTGCATGCTCCCCACCCACCTCCAGGCTCACAGGGAGGGGAGGGAGTGAGTGCACGTGTGGGAGCCCCTGCCTGGGTCCCCCAGGCAGCAGACAGGCAGAGACCCTCTGCGCCTCCAGAGAAGGCCCGCCCTTGCCTGGCCCCCTGCCCCTGCTAAGGGGCTCAGCCCTGGCAGCCCGGGGCAGTGAACCAGGATTCCTATAGTGCCCCGCCCCAGGCGAGGGTCCGAGTCAAGTCACAGGGGAGGCTATCTTGGGGGCCTGAGCCCGAGGAGGAGGACACAGGGGAACCCTGACTCTCCAGGAAATGCAGGGCTTGGGCCGCTGCACCTCTCACACTGATCACGACGACATGAGCAGGAGGGAATCAACTCCAGCCAAGGGTCAAGTCTGCCAGGGTGCCCCAGCCCCTTGACAGGCTGCCAACCTGCTCAGGAGAGGCAGCGACGGCTGGCGGGTCCCAGCGCCCACCTCAACCCTGAGGAACTGCAGTGTGACCAGAGCCAGCCTGTCCCCTGCCTTGGCTCTCTTCTCAGGGCGCCCTGAGGCCTTCTGGTTCACAAGCTTCTGGCCAGCAACTCCAGCTGGCTGTGAGGAGCGGTAGGTCCCCAAACCACATCATGTGGTGCCCCAGCAGCGGCCCCTCCCCTGCCCGAGGTCCAGAGCTGCATGTGCCTGGGGCAGCCGGCACCAGGAGAGAGCAGCCCACCTCTCGGAGGGGCCCGTGGACAGACTAGCCTGGCCTGCTGCTGGCAGAGGGGCCCGGCCTGAGTCCACAGGTCAGTAGTAAGCCCCGAACAGAGTGGCCACCTTCTGGAGGATGGTCTTGTGGTTGGCATACAGCGGGATGCGCTTGTCCACGACCTGCCAGCGGACGGATATCTTCGGGTCGCGGTGCTTCAGGTGCTGCAAGGACAGAGGAAGATCTGACTCCCTCCCGAGCTCCACCCAGACGCCCCAACACCTGGACTGCAGAACGTCTCGGCCCTCGCTCCAGGTCTGGCCCGTGGCGGGCTCACTTTACTCTTCTGTGGAAAGGGAGTCAGGACGCCACTGCAGGCACCACTCAGAAAACTCCTGCAGAGCCCCGATGTCCTTGAAGGAGAGGAGGGGGTGGGCGCAGCCTTATTCCGAGGCCCCCCAGCCCGCAAATAGAGCCCACGTTTGCTCCCCGGGACTCCTGGGCTCCAGTTCTGGACTAGGGATATGAGGATTGATCTATGGGGGCAGTCTCCCCACAGAGGTGTGTGAACCAGCCTCCCCTGGACATGAGCCTGGAGGTCCCCAGGAGACCCCGTCCCAGGGTCCCCGACCAGCTCTGACTCCACTCCAGCCATCTGCTGGTGCCTCTCGCCTCTCCCAGGTGCCCCCTTGGTACCCTCCAAGCAGGACTCTGACCCCCAGTCCCCAGCCTCTGGTCCCGGTCAGACTCCCCCCGACAGGACCGAGACCCCTCCAGAGCACGCTCGCCCCAATTCTCCCCCTCCTCGGAGCCAGTGACCTGAGCCCCATACCGAGTCCAGCCTCGTCAGCTCCACGTCGTTCTGGTCTGCGAAGTGGACACTGACAGCCACCGTCTCGATCCAGGCGTTGTCCGTGTTCCGAGGGTCGTCCACATACCCCTTGTACACCTGCGAGGCAGCGCAGGTGAGCCCACCCCGGCTTCCTTCCAGAGGGAGGGGACTCACGCGTCCCCCGTGCTCCGTCCATCCCTGGCACGCTCTGAGCTCGGCTGCCCACTGCACCCAGGCCCCGGCCTGCCTCTCTCTCTGCCCCGTCCAGCCTGCTCCCAACATTGCCTTCAGCCTTGACTGACATCGCGGCGAACCATGGCCTCACCATCTCCCTCCCGCTCCCTGGCCTGGCATCCAGACCCGCCTCCACTGTGCTCAGAGGGATTAAAGAGGGACAGTGACCTCGAAAACATCATGCTAAGTGAAGGAAGCCAGACGCCGCAGGCCGAGTACTGGATGGTTCCACTTACAATAAATGTCCAGAACAGGCAAATCCAGAGACATAAAGCAGATTAGGGGCTGCCAGGGGCTGGGGGAGGGGAGACACAGTGATGCTGGTGTGTACCAGGTTTCCTTTTGGGGTGGTGGAATGTTCCAGAGCCTGACAGAGGAGATGGTCACACAATATTGTCAATGTACTAAATGCCGCTGAACTGCTCACTTTGAAATGGTTGTCTGTTATGTGGATTTCACCTCAATAAATAAACTAATTCTTTCTACAAAGTAAAGAAAAGAGGGATAGTGGTGTCCCCGAGGCACGTATGCGACAAACCATAAGAAACTGCTGGTTTGTGGGTCAAAACCACAAAGATCAGCAATTGCCTGTGTCATCCTAAGATGCGACCAAAGCAGGAGTGGTGACAACTTAGACACTCGCTTAGGGGACTGTTTAAACAAACTGTGGCACAAAATATTGTGTAGTCTGAAAAATATTATGTAGTCATGAAAAATAGTGAGGTAAGTTTGTAAATACTGACCTAAAAATATGAGCATTGCAAATCAAGTGAAAAGCAAATTACAGAGGACTGTGCACCGTGTAGCCCGTTTTTTTTTTTTTTTTTTTTTTTTTGGTGAGGAAGAGTGTCCCTCAGCTAACCTCTGTGCCCATCTTCCTCTATTTTGTATATGGGACGCCGCCACAGCATGGTTTGATGAGCGGTGTGTAGGTCTGCACCGGGGATCCGAACCTGCAAACCCCGGGCCACCGAAGCAGAGTGCACGAACTTAACCACTACACCACTGGGCCGGCCCCCCCGTGTAGCCTCTTTTTATTGAAACAGTATGTACGCGTTCATGTGTGGAGAGAGCTGGAGATGGAGCCGACACAGGCATGAAGAAGTGAACTGAACGTCGGGTACCATCCCCCTGGGCGGCACTAAGGGTGAGTGTGAACATGGTGTCACCGTCACCGTTACCTGTCTGCATTCTGGATGCGTTTCAGCAAACACGTGTTGCTTTTGTAATTTAGAAAAGATCCAATAAAGAAAACAGGCCTGACAAATGCCCAAAGGCCCAGCTGTGCTGCCCCGTCCAGGGCGTGGGGAGCAACCCCTCCTCTGCCTTGGGAGGCACAGACGCTGCAGGTCCCCGTGTGCCCCGCTGTGATCAGGGCCAGAGTAAGTGTGGGAAGGAGGCGCCAGACACCAGGCCTCCCCGAAGGCGGCAGATTTAGAGAGGAGAAAAGGGGACACAGAGGGACGGCAGGTGCCTGAGGCCCAGAGCCACGGCCGTGCCCCCTTGTCCAGCTCCTTCCTCCAGGAGCCTTGGCATGTGGGCCAGGAGCAGGTTCCCCTGTGTCCCGTCCTGCTCGTCCTGCAGCCCACATGGCCAGCACACTGTAGGGGCTCAGGACACACAGGTGGGGGCAAAGTAGAAAGGCCGCCCTACCTCCACGCCCTGAGTCAGCAAGCTCTGGAAGGAAGACCAGAACTCTTTCTGGAGGACCTGCTTCAGCTTCCGGGGCAGCATCTCTCCTGGTTCCTGGGACCCCTGAGCAGAGAGGGAGGTGGACGCAAGTGGGCAAGGCCGTCCAGGGACCCACCTCCACTGGCCCCCTGCCTGGCACGGGCAGCTGGCCAGCCCCCGGGAGCCACAGGCAGACAAACATCTGGCAGCCTGGCTGACTTGGGCCAGAGTGACACTGCCCAGAGCCTCCTGTCCACATCAGCCTGCGACAGAGCAGGGCGTGTCGGGCCAAGGGCACAGCCATGTGTGGGCACCAGCGCCTCTCTCAGGCTCCCGGTAAGGTGGCCAGTGCCCTGACCTCCCACCCTGGCCATGGCGGGGGGCTGCGTCTTCATTGTTTGTTTGATTCCCCGGCCCCCTCTCTCGCCTCCGATCCTGCACAACAGGCTCCCAGCCGCTCCCAACGCCACCTGCCCTGTGGACACAGACCCTGCACTCCATGTCCCCAAGCATCTAGGGGACCCTGTTGTTATTCAGAGTCCCTCCCAGTCCACGTCACGTCCATCCTGCCTCAGCCCTCATGATACACCTGCCCCCCACTAGCTGCAGCGGGGGGACCTGTGCAGGCTTATCAGACGCCCCAAAGTGCCCAGCTCGGGGCGACAGGGACACCGCTCAGAACACGCCCATCGGCAGGAACCACATCAGGACTGGGGCCAGCATCCTGCCTGGAGAGACCAAAGTACCCAAGAGGGAGAGTGAATCGTGCAGGAGAACCCTCAGGGGAGAGGGGCTGGGCCTAGGCTCAGATGGCGCTCCCTCAGCTGAGGGGCACAGGGTTCATGGCTGCAGGGGCCAGAGCTGCCCGGAGCCTGGAACCTGAGCTTGGGCCTGAGAACCGGACGCAGCACTGCTGCCCCACACATTCCACTAACATGCCACCCCCAGCAGAGCAGCCCTGGGCCACAGGCTAGGTGTCAGAGAAACCCGACGGCTTCTTGCTGAGTTGGGTAAATCTCAGATTACCCAGAAATAGACTCAGAGGAGAGGCCCCCCGACAGGGCCACGTCACAGAAGTATCTGTCATCCCAGCCCAGGGCCTGGCCGATGACACAGTCTTCCTGCCAGGACGAGGCTATTCTGACTCTAGAGCAACAATGGGGGCAGGGAGGGCAGACTGATCTGGGAGCAACACCTGAGGGGTTTGGCCCACTTGGACGGGAAGGGCCCAGGGCCTTCTCTACCCCGATTCTGTCCCTCCTCACGAAGCCTCTGGGGTGACTCTGGCCTTCAGCCCCGCAACCAGCTGCCACCCCAGAGCTGAGGGGCCGTTTGCCCCCTGCCCCAGCCCCTGGACAATGCCGTCCCATCCTCAGAGCTCAGCTTGGGGCCACAGGGTGAGGGGCAGGGGCGCCCCTGAGACACCTGTGTGGGGTGCCCCGTCTGCCCCCAATGCCATGAACTCGACAAAGAGATCTGGTCCAGCTTCCTCAGCAGCCCCAGCTCTGAGCTGGCGCCTGGGACACAGTAGGTGCTCAATTAGTGCTTATACACCAAAGAGCATCTGAACCTGTTTTCACAACTGCCAAATGGGGAAGAGGGAGGGAGAATTCCTTCTGAAACGCCGACTACCCGCCGTGGTCATGCAGAACTAGAGACAGAGTCCAGCAGTGTCCAGGGCAGGGGTGTTCAGTCAGGGAGTGGAACTGATGAATAACTGATGGACAGACAGCTGGCGATGGCTTACCCCAGGCAGGGCCCAGTGTTCTGAGATGGGGAGCTTCATGACCAGCACTTCCAGCATTTTCTTTATGCTTTTCCTGCAGATGGCTCCGTCCTGGTTCCGCCTCCAGCTGCAAAAGGAACCCGGCTCACACCTCCCGGAGTCTCTGCGTCAGCCCACCTCCCCTGCAGCGAGGGGAGGCCCCACCCTGCCTCCTCGCCTGAGTTCCTGCTCCAGGGGAAGACCCGAGCTGGTCACCACTGGGGGTGTCCTTCCCGCTCCCAGAACCGCTGGTCAGGCTCGAACCGCCTGGCCTTTTTGGAGAATATTTTTTTATCGAAAGCCTTAAAGAAGCACGTGCCCTGGACCCAGCTGGTCCACTCCCACGACTCCGGAAATGCCGGGAAGGGTTATACGTGTTTTCAGTCTGTCTGTGGTGGTGGGCCCTGGCCGAGGCTCCATCCCTCCTCCCGGCGGCACGCTAAGGCAGGGGGACCCACTGGGAAGCGAGGGCAGTCTCCGGGGTTGGGGGTACGGGCCCGAACTTTTCCGGGGGCACGGACATTCCTGCCCCTTGTTTTGGGGTGCACCACCTTTTTCCAGGCCCTGCTGTGAGACTGGCACCATGCGCCAAGCTCAAGCTGTCCTCTGGGCTCTCCGGCGCACGGGGACAGGTCGGGGAGGGGTCCCTCGTGGCACGTGTGGGTGACCACGTGTCCTTATCTCAGGCGTACTCACCGGGTGACCACGGGCTGCAGCGAGTGGTTGGGTCCAAAGTACCTGAGGGCCCCGCGCCCGCGCAGCCCTGTGCGGCCCATGGGGTTCCTGGGGTGGAGAGGGGTCTGCTCAGCCCGCGCCCTCCACTGGGAGAACCAGGACGGGGCAGGGAGGGCGGACTGAGAGGGGACAGCAGGCGGGGGCCGCTCCCGGGAGGAGTGTGCGTCTCTCCCGGCCCTGCCCCGGCCCAGGACTCTCAGAGCCTAGGCCGCTCGCCTCGATGGAAGCAGGGAAGCGGCCGCCGTGGGAAGGCCCGGACAGGACCCCTCTACCAGCCTGCCAAACTCGCCTCACACACCTGGGGCTGTCCTCTGCCAATCTTGTCCCTTGGGGACATCAAGGGCTGAGGCAAGGGCTTCAGGTTACCTTGGGGTCGGTTGGAAAGGAAGGGGGCCTTGGGAGCAGAAGTCGGCCCCCTGCAGATGCGCCAGGTGTTAAAGCGGCCATCCTGTCCCCCAGAGAGCGTGTGACCCACCTGTCGTGCCATACCACACCTGTCTGTATCCAAAGACTTCAGCATGCATGGGAGCGGGCACCTGGCTGGTCCCCCTGAGACACTCTGTCCTGCCCTCTCCCCACAACTCCAGCTGCACATCTTAACATCCCTCCACCCCACCCTGTGCCACCTCCTGTCACCAGAGCTGAAGTCGTTCCTGGTCACATCTCTGTTCTCATGCCCTATCGGTCTCCCACACCTCCTTACACAGCCTCTGGATCAGGCAGAGTAACCCACTCCCTGTTCCAGAACATTCCCCAAGAGGCCCAATACCTGCCTCCTCCCTCAGACCCCCTCAGCTTGCACCTGCTGCATGGGGCGCCCCACATCCCAGCAACCTGTCCTCATTCCTCTAATTCTGAGGCCCTTTCCTCAGCTTCAGGACCCTGGTGGTGCCACCTCCCCGGGGACCCCAGGTCAGAGGAGGCTCCATTTCCTCTGGAACCCCATGCTGGGAAGTGGGCATTCACCAAGACACCACTGGCCACCTACGTCTTTATGTGGGGCGTCCTCACCTGTACAGTGGGGCACAGTGCCCATGCCTACAGAGGACAGATGCTGGGACACGCCACCATCCCCTAAATGTGACCCCAGTACCTCACCTGTAAAAGGGGGTACTGTGCCTGTCCCTACAGAGGACAGATGCTGGGACACGCCACCATCCCCTAAACGTGACCCTAGTGGCCCTTTAACAGCTCCCCCGCCGGCAGAGCCCTTTCCATCACTCCTGCTTCCTTCTCACCAATCTATGGAGGTCTGTGGGCAAGGTTGCTCCCATTTAACCGCGGAGGGATGGAAGTCATCAAGGGGACATCAGGGAATGAGGGCAAAGCACCTCGGCCAGCTGGGTCAAGTCCATGCCCTCCCCGTCCCCACCGTGTCCCGGGAGGCCACAGAGGAGGGTTCCCCATGGAGGGGCTAGGAAACACTTTAAGTTGATGTTTCTTTTCTTCCATATATTTTTTTTTTTAATCAGAAAAACGCCTAGTTTGCCAAGAGAGGAAGCCTGACCCCAGAAGCAAAGGCCCGAAGGTGCAGTGGCCAGGGGCAGGGCCGCACTCACAGAGGGAGCCCGTCCCGAACAGCGTAGGGGCCGTGCGAGCTGCGGCGGTCCACGGGGCCATCCACGGCATTGTAGCGGATCCCGGACAGGGGCGCCAGGGCACTGGGGGGAGACGGGAAGTCACAGTCTGACAGAAGAAGTTAGAGGCAGAGTGGCTGCGGTGACCACAGGCCTCCGCTGAGTCCCGTGGCAGAGGACCAGAGGGCTCCCTCACCGGGCCACGGACGCCCCCAGCCGCGGCCTCCCCAGCGTGTCCCAGGCCTTTGGGGAGGACGGGGCCCTGTCCAGGCAGGACGCAGACCCTCGCCTGCGTGAGTTCCCAGCGGTCACTCTGGAGCACCCCAGCCGGTCTCTCACCCTCTGGGCTGGGCCGTGAGGAATTGCTGGGGGGCGCTGTGAGGCAGCACTCACCTCCCCACAGGGTCCACCACGCCCTTGTCCTTCCTCTCAGCCGTGTAAAAGGGCGGGTTGTAGATGAGAAACTCCGTCTGCACAAAACAGGGGTATTTTCCTCAGACTGTTAACCCTGTCCCCGCGCAAAGCTCGGGCCCACGCACCCAGGATGACTGAGGGCGGGCAGCTCCTTCTCCTCAAAGCATCACGGACAAGGACCCCAAGACCATCCCCTAAGTGCACACAGTGGCTCTGAGCTCGGCCGAACTGAAGCACGTGCCACACTGGGGACCCGGCCAAGGGGTCTAGGGGCAGGAGTCTAAGCTGGACTCTAGAGGGAGAAGTGTTCCAACTGGCAGAGCCTGGAGAGAAAGCAATTGAAGCAACACCTGGAATGTCCTGGAAAGGCCAGAGAGAGGTCTGGGGGGAGGGGCACTCGGATACCATCTCTCCATCTCTCTCCCTCCCATGCTCTCACTTATCTGGCATTCAGGAATGGGGGAAGCGACTGTTCACCTGGGACGCTGGGAACTAGGACAAGTGTGGTGACTAGAGGTACCAGGGCAAACGATAGGCCGCGGGAGCAGCCCCTGGCCACGTTGGGCTCCGTGCAAGGATCAGAGGGGCACCAGGTGCCCTAGGCCCAAATCCCAGCCCCACCACCTCTAGCTGTGTGGACCTGCATGCCTTAGTTTCCTCATCTGTCCAACATGCCCTGTGAGGCTGCAGTGGGCGGGAACCACGGTCCGAACCTCTGTCCTTAACCCCAGTGCCCAGCTGTGTCAGAGGGTTCGGGGCAAGATTGCTCGCCCCCAGAACACAGGTCCCCCCTGCCTGGTGGGGAGCGTAGCGGGGATGGGCACTCACCTCCCAGGGCACCTTCTCATTGGGCACGGGGAAGCGCGTGATGAGGGAGCTGGGGTAGAGGAGGTGCCGGGCATTCACGTGGTGGGCGTCACCCGGGTCCTCCTCCTCCTGCCTGCTGTGCAGCTCAGGATCCTGCCCCTCCGAGGCCTTCTGGGATGCTGGGAACAGCCACATGGAGCCGTGTGCAAAACCGGACCGGAGTTCAGGTGCCCGGCCCACAGTATAGGGGCGTCCTCTATGCTCCTTTCCCCAAAACTGGGCTGCCTCCACCTCCTCGAACCCAGGCTGAATGCCAGCCCGGAAGGGGGCACCCTCCCCAGGACCCCTAGCACTGCAGCCTTGGGACAACAGAGATCCAGGGACCCGCCTCCTGTGCAGCTCAAGTCCCAGGCCCTACAGAGGCCCATCCCGTTAAGGAGGGCACGTCTGCCCCCTGGGGCCAGCCACACCCTGGAGGTGCCTCGTGCCCATTTGTTGACTGGCTGCAAATTTAGCAAAACAGACTTTCCTTTCTGTCTCCCCACTGACATGACTAGGTCCCAGATATCTCCTAGAGCTGCCCCGCTTTGCAGCATGACACACAGGTGGTCGGGGGGCCATGGGCCAGGCCTCCCCTTGGAGTACCCCAACCTGGTCAAGTCAGGGGCTCAGCCGTGCTCAGCACCTGTGTCCGTGGAGCAGGCCATGCTCCCCAAGGCGCTGGGCCTGCAGGGCTCAGAGACAGCTGCAATTGCAGCCTTCCTCCAGGCCCAGCACGAGCCGCCTCACCTCCCACAGACCCCCAGACTCAAAGGAACACAGGCCAGCAGGACTAGCTGCTAGCACGGCCACCCACTCACCCAGAGTGGGGACGTCTGCCTCCAAGCCAAAGCCACCGTCCTTCAGGGTCTTCACGATCCAGTGCAGTGCTCTGGCCGTCTGGGTCACCTGGGAGGCACGTCCCAAACAAGGTTTGGTCAACACCTGCCCCACGCAGCATGCCCACCCCCCCACCCCTGTCCACCTGCTCCCCAGGCGGCCGCCGAAACAGCAAGGGCACTGCCGGGAGAGCCCGTCCTACTGCGATGACCCGCCAGCATCCAAGCATCAGGGTCATGGCTGCTGAGTCGCAGCAGCACCAGCCAATGAGACACAATGACTGCCAGGACTGGACACACCAGAGGCCATCCACCCAACTTGAAGCCTCGGTAAGACAAGTCTGAGCTGCGGGAAGAGAGGGACACACGACCACTCTCGGAGGCTTCCCACAGCTCTTGCTCCTCACAGAGGAAAGAAACTTCCGGAGGCCAAACATGCTCAACTACAGGGGACGGTGGGAACCATCTGTGACTAACAGGTGCCAGGAGAATGCAGCTCGGCAGTGGCCACAGCCATTTCAGGGTGTGTCAGCAAGGCAAGACCCCTGGGGAGAAGGAGGTCTGGGCAGACCCCCCCACCCCCACCCCGTGCAGTGGCCCCAGGGAAAGAGCTGGCTGCCGGTGGATGCCCCACCAAGGGGGGGGGCCAAGTGGCCTGCCCCCACCCAGCACAGCAAGGCTCCTGTTACAGCTGGGGGCTCAGGTGCTGCTGGTGGGGGGCGCTGTGGGCAGCAGGGGCTCTTGTCAGAAAGCACAGGTCCTGGGGCCCGAACCCAGAGCAGGCCCACGGTGGGGGCACAGGTTCGAGGCTCCCTGCCCTGCCAGCAGGAAGGACACAGAGAGGCGGGGACTGGACCTCTGCCCTGTCCACCCCACATTGTCCTGGAGGCCTGAGGCCTCGCTGACCATCAGCCCCGCGTCCACCTTGCTCACTCTGCTTATGGAACCGCACCGTGACAATGGATGCTTATATCTGTGCCCCCGACTGGGAGCCCCTGGGGCGAGACAATGCCTGTTTACCCTGACATTCCCGAGGCCGAGCCTGGACATGGCACAGAAGAGGAGTGCAGGAAACACGGAATGAATGAATGAATGGATTAATGGATTGATGAATGAATGAATGAATCGGTGGATGAATGAACTAACACACATTAGTGTCCCTCGCAGCACTTAGGCACCAGCTGGCCTTCGACGGACTGGCTCTGGGACAAGAGGCTGCTCAGGGCTGCCCATCACAGCCTGTGGGCTGGGAGCCCAGTGGGTGTGGCCCGGCTATCGGGGAGCTGTCAGCAGACACTGATGGGGGAGGGGTGGGTGGAGGCCATCATCTATCGCGTACTGGTGACCACCCTCTCTTCTGGGGCTGGTCCGAGACGTCCACACGCGGCTTTCTGATGCTGCTCCCCCGCCCAGTCACCCACCAGAGTTCAAATGCTTCTCTGTTGCCCCGTGACACTCCCTCCTTCCCAGCATAGCTGCAGCCTGAGAAAGCAGCCCCCTCCCAGGTTCCGGGCACGGAGGCCCGCAACAGCAGCCCTCTCAGAGGACAGCTCCGAGGAGGCCAGAGGAGGGGACGAGAGTCTGCTCCTCAGACCGGCCCAGGGTGTGGACACCTCACAGTGCAGTGGGGTGGCGCTCAACCAGGGAAGCATTTGGCGGAATATTCTGGACGACGATGAAAGTGCCTCTTCCGCTTGGGGACGGTTGCCCACCCCAAAGACGAGGGTCTTTGTCATTTTCCCAGAGTGCTCATTCTCAAAGCCACCGCAGCACAAAGTAACCAGCTGGGCTCACTGGATCTGTACCCCAGACACAAGGCCTGGGCCCGGAACCCACCTGCTCCTCCAGGGAGGCCAGTCTCTGCTCCACGGAGCCCGACCGCTTCACGTGCTCCATTTCCAGCAGGTCCACCATGGCATCCACCCTGCAAGAGCACAGAACTGAGCCCAGCAGGCGGGCCTCGGGGGCCTGGATGCTGCAGAAACACGGTGCTGGTTTGCAGGTGGACAGCCGTGTCAGACCCAGCAGCCCAGCCATCCGCCTCCACGTCAGGCATCATCACCCTGATTTGAAAGTACCTATGATATCCATTTCCGTATAGAACGAGCATGAGTTTTGGAGGGAGGAGGGAAGAGTGCTATTGTTTTGGGAATGTTTGGTTTTTGTCTTATTTTGCTGCAACACAGGAATTTCGCCCAATTTTGGCCTGCCATCTTTACAGGTAAAATAATTCCATGGCCGAACATCCATTCGAACTCTCATCTGTTTATGCCCAGGGTTCCTGTACTTCCTCTCTCCTACAGTGCCAACGGCCAAGCACGTTCTTCTGTAACAAAGGGAGCAACCACTTCAATAACCAGTGAAAGCTGAGCTGGGGCCACGAACACTGAATGGTTGTCCAGGGAAAAGGGAGAAATGCTTTCATGAAGGGCCCAGGAGTTTACTTCCATTCCCACCACACATTGCTTCATCCCACAAAAGCCACGTAACCACCCCCTCCTGTCCCCAGTCAGCCTTGCAGACCCGCCGTGAGGTTACTGGAAAGAAGGCGACCGGGCGCGTTCAGGCCGGGGTCTCAGTCACGCTGACAAGCGGGGTCGGCTCAGCTCAGCCCGCGAAGCTGTGGGGCCATGGCGCCACGCTGCCTCCCTGGGCCTGGGCTCCTCACCCGACCCACGGGGAGAAGGTGACCAGGCCGGGGCGCCATCATCATCACTGACGTGCAGCAGGGACACTAAGAGCAGCGCCCACAACAACCGAGGGTGACGGGGTTCCGGTTGTGTCTCCAGCACAGGATGTGCAAAGGCTTTACACGCTTGCTCCCACTGTGTTCTGGAAAGCCTCCAGGTGATGGATACCCGCATCATCTCCATCACACAGACAGACGAGAGAGGCGCAGACAGGCAGGTGCCCGTGTCTAAGGAGGGGGCACTCGGCCTGAGCGGAGAGAGCCCAGGCTTGTGGCAGCTCCCCCGCGGCCCCAAGATGCCCCCTCCATGACCTGCAGGAACCTCCAGGCCAGGGCAGGAGCTGCACATCTGGGTGGCTCTGTGTCCCCTCCCTCCTCCGGGCCCACAGTGAGACACACACTGACCACAGGACAAAACCCCCACGTCTGTGCCCCAAGGGCCCTGCTGGCATCCACACTGCTGAGGGGCAGGGTGGAGAGAAGGGAGCAGAGATCTGTCCCCAACACCAAGCTCGCACCCTGGAAGGAAGCAGGGGGCAGGAACGGAGAGCAGGAGGACGGTGTGAGTGTGCTGAGCTCCAGGCTGGGCCCTGCAAAGCCGCAGCAAGGCTGTGTGCCAACCAGCTCCCTGCTTACCCTCCCAGGCCTCGAGTCTGCCTCCTGTGGGCCCACCGGTCCCTCCACCAGGGACCGTCCCACCCCTGCCTCTCTAGGAAGCCCCAGCACAGGTGGCTTTATCCTCCTCCCCACTGTGGATCCAGCCTTCCCTAGCACCCAGAGGCCAAGGATCAGCTGGGGGACACAGGTCCAGCCCAAGACCCAGAGGCTTCCTGCCCTAGGTGACCAGGCGCCGCCCCGCCCCCCCCCAGGTGGGCTATGTCCTTATTGGGTCTCGGAACCACAGGGAGCTGCTGCGTCTCCCTGGGAGGACGGCCCTGACCTCCCGTACTTATTGCTAATGTCTTGGATCTTCTGCTCCGGCCTCTGCTGCTGCTGGTACTGCTGGTTCTGCAGGTAGTTCTCCTTCAGGTAGGTCTCCCAGAACAGGAGGGCCGCCTCCTCGCTCTCCTCCAGCTTGTTCTCTGCGGGAGGAGCAGACAGAGGGATCCGCGCTCTGCGTGAGGAGGACACGTGAGGCCCTGACCACCTCAGGGCCCCACTGGGAGGGGGCTGCTCCCTGAGCGGCAGGAGGAGCCCGCCCCCGAGTAGGCTGGGGGAGGTCATGGCCTGAGTGGTCTGCATGCCCACCCAGCTCCCAGGATCCCAGAAGGAGCTGCCAGGCCCACCTGCAAGCCCCCGTCTGCTCCCCTGGGGTGGCTGGGACCGTGCTCTGGGGACGGCACAGGGGTCGGCTTACTGAGCTGCTGGTGTCGCTTGGCAGGTATCTTCAGGATGACCCTCTTGACGACGAGATGCAGGTGGCTGAGGACGATGAAGGGGGGCGGCGCCGGGGGCCTGTTGTGGTACTCCTCTATCAGGTCGTGGCGCTGGAACTTCCAGATCTGGTCCGTGTGCTCCTGGACCTGCTGGAACGTGTAGCTGGCAGGAGGCCAGGAACGCACAGGTTACCCGAGGAGGACAAGACGTGGTACGGTGAGACGCACAAGAACGGTCCCTGGGAACACGCCCACATCATGCCCAGAGTGTCTAGATGATGGCCCATAAAAAGCAGACACCGCCCAGGAGGGCAAGTCTAGACGCAGAAAAAGAGAGCTGACCAGCCAGCCTCAGAATTCCGAGCCTCCTGAGAGGCAAGGTGAGAAGAACAAAGCACATCTAGATTTTAGATTTTATAAACTTCGTTACTGGATAAAACAAAATGGACGTTTGGGGGGAGATGGACAATGTCCTGGTGCTGAACTCCAAAAGGAGTTTATCAGTTGAGTCTGACAATCAGGAGGGTTGGTGTCTTTGACAGGCAGATGCATTTATTCTCCACACGTTTGTCATCTTGCAGACAGACCTCGACAGAGCCGAATCTGAGGTGAGAGAGGCCCTCCCCAGTGGAAGTCAGTGGTGCAGAAATGCAGCCACACTTGCTTTACTCGATACAGGGCACAGCCCCTGCCTGCTGGTCCCTTTTGGCCTCTATGTCACAGTTCCCGCACACATTAAATCAGAAAGTGACAACCTCAGCAACTTAGCTGATAAAAGGGGCAGAGAAATGGTGCCAACTCAGATCAGGAACTAAGGGATTTGCACAAGAGTCACGGGTTCCACGGGCTGTCCTGCATCGTTAAGAGCAGCATTTTTTTTCTTTTTTTTTAGTGAGAAAGATTAGCCCTGAGCTAACATCTGTTGACAATCCTTCTCTTTTTGCTGAGGAAGATTGGCCCTGGGCTAACATCTGTGCCCATCTCCCTCTATTTTATATGTGGGACACCTGCCACAGCATGCCTTGATGGGCGGTGCATAGGTCCACGCCTGGGATCCGAACCTGTGAACCCCAGGCCGCCGAAGCAGAGCGAGAGAACTTAACCACCATGCCACCAGGCTGGCCCCCAAGAGGAGCATTTTTAGTTAAGTGCTGACATGCGCTCCTCTACATCTAGAGATGACCTCAGACAAGACACTCTGCCCCTCCAGCCTGGTCCCCTTCTCTGCAAAGTGGGAGGCCTGCACCAAAACCTTTCACCCTCAGGATCTTATCTTGTCTCCACAAACAACCTGTGAAATAGTAGTTTCTCCGAAAGGACAGAGGGAGTGAAGCTCAATGTGTTTCCCGAGATTTTCCCTGGGCGGGAATCCAAGCTGCCCACTGCATGCGGCTGCGCCCCGAGGCCCTCCGGGGAGGCTGACTTCCCGTGAGGCACCCAGTGATTCTGCAGGCCGGCTCTGTGATCATGAACCTGGAGCCCACCCCCTGCAGCCCCACTGACCCCAGGAAGGAGCCCAGGAACGGAGAGGAGTGGGACTTCGGTGCGCCCCCAGCCCGCGGCCTCCATGCAGCACGGCCCATGGGCTGGCACCACCTGCGCCGCTGGTCCCTGTAGCAGCAAGGCCCAGGTCAGACATACCAGTGACCAGGCAGAGTGGCAGTGCACGCTCCAGCTGGGCCGAGCTAGGCGTCTCGGAGCACCAGGGGCCCCAGGCTCACGCTCTGGCCGCACCACGCGTGCCCAGCCTGGGCCAGCGCGCCCGTGGCACTCACTTGAACATGGCGATGAGGAGGTTGAGCAGCAGGATGTTGGTGAAGAGCAGGTAGAGGCAGAGCAGGATGACTGTCAGCCACTCGGGGAAGGCAGGCGCCTGCAGGTTGGTGTCGCTTTCCGGGCACTTGGGCTTGTAGGGCTCTGTGCCATTGGGGCTGCAGTCGTCCAGGCTGAAGTTCACGCCTGGGTGGGGGGCAAGGACAAGGAAAGCCACACGGAGTCATGAGGATCCCTCGGACAATGAGGATCCCCCAGGCCTGGATGCCCGCACATCTGGGGGACCTCAGCGGTCAGCTCAGCCCCAGAGAAGGGGGTCCGTCCACCCCTGGGCATCCTCTGCGGGAAGGGGGTACAGTGCCAAGGGGAGCTCCAGGAGCACCCAGACTGGCACGTGCCCCTGCCCAGGACCCAGCCACCCCTCCAGGGCACCTCCTGGGCCCCAGGCAGGGCTGGCACCAGGAGGCACTGGGGCTACCGCCATCGCTGAGACCAAGGTCCCAACCCAGGAGCCCAACACGATGGGAAAGAATTCGAAAAGAGACAAAACAACAACAATCACAAGAGAAGGGGGACATGAGAAAGGAGAAATGCAGCAGAGGGAATGGGCGGACATCAGGAACAGGCAATCACAAACCCACTTGTGAAAATACAGTCCCACATTTGTGGAAGAGGAAACGACATGGAATACAATAAGACATAGATAAATATTCAACTCGCGCGTAAAAAACCTCTAAGGAAACGTACTAAGTGGATTAAGAGTAGTTAACTCAGGGAGGTGGGGTTATGGATAACATTTTTCTCTAGTCTTACCTTGAATTTTAAAATTCTGCAACAATGGGTGCACACTATTTCAAATATATGATCATATAATCAAATATATTTTTTTAAAGTGTTACTAAGTTCCTAAGATAGAAACTCACTATGATAGCTATAAATAACTATATTAAAAAGAACTGAAATTGATAACATAACCGTCCAGTTTAGTGAACTAAAAAGATCAAAGCAAACTAGACCCAAAGCAAGGAGAAGGAAGGAAATAATAAAGATTAGAATGCAAATAAATGAAATGGAGAATACAAAAACAATAAAGAAGCAACAAAACCAAAATTTGGTTCTTGGAAAAGATCAACAAAATTACAACCCTCTAGCTTGACTGATCAGAAAAAAAAGAAAAGGCTCAAATTACAAAATCATAAGTGAAAGAGAGGACATCACTTCCAATCTTACAAAAATAAAAAGAACTACAGGGAAATACTACAAAAACTGTATGCTAACAAATTAGATAACTTAGAAATATGCACAAATTCCCAGAAAGACACAAATTACCAAAAGTGACTGAAGAATAGAAAATATATTTAGACCCATAACAAGTAAAGAGATTGTATTAGTAATTTTGAAAATTCACACAAAGGAAAAGTTCAGGCCCAGATGGCTTTCCTGGTGATTTCTGCCAAATGTTTAAAGAAAAATTAAAACCAATCTTTCATAACCTCTTCCAAAATTTAAAAGAGGAGGAAATACTTTCTAACTCATTCTATGAGGCCTGCATCACCCTGATACCAAAACCAGACAAAGACCTTACAAGAAAACTACAGGCCAATACCTGGTGACTATAGATGCAAAAATCCTCAACTGAATGCTAGCAAACTGAATCTAGCAACATAAAGAAAGAATTATACACCACGACCCTGTGAGCTGCATCCCAGGAATGCAGAGTTGATTTAACAACCAAAAATCAATTCATGTAATACACCATATTAATAGTACAAAGAACAAAAACCATATGAACATTTCAGTGGATGTCAGGAAAGGCATTCGACAGAATCTAACACCCTTTCATAATAAAAACATCCAAGAAACTAGGAAGAGAAGGGAACTTCTTCAACCTGATCAAGGACATTTACAGAAAACCCACAGCTAACACTGTACTTAATAGTGAAAGACTGAAAGCTTCCCCCCTAAGATCAGGAACAAGATAAAGATGTTTGTTCTTGATACTTCTGTTCAACAGTGTACCAGAGGCTCTAGCCAGGATAATCAGGCAAGAAAAAGAAAGAAAAGGCACCCAGATTGAAAGGAACAGGTAAAACTACCTCTATTTCAGATGACATAATCTTGTACATAGCAAATCCCAAAGAATCCACTAAAAAACTCTTAGAACTAATAGGAGGCGGCCCGGTGGTGTAGTGGTTAAGTTCGTGCGCTCCACTTCGCCAGCCCGGGGCTCATGGGTTTGGATCCCAGGTGCAGACATACACACTGCTCATCAAGCCGTGCTGTGGCAGCATACCATATAAAGTAGAGGAAGATGGGGATGGATGTTAGCCCAGGGCCAGTCTTCCTCAGGAAAAAGAGGAGGATTGGCCACAGATGTTAGCTCAGGGCTAATCTTCCTCACACACACACAAAAAAAACTCTTAGAACTAATAAATAAGTTCAGCAAGGTTTCAGGAGACATGATCAATATACAAAATATAGTGTATTTTATACACTAGCAATAAACAATCCAAAAATGAAATTAATAAAACAATTTTATTACAGTAGCATGAAAAATAATAGAACACTTAGAAAATAAATTTAACAAAAGTAGCACAATTATACATTGAAAACTACAAAATATTGGTGAAAGGTATTAAAGAGCTAAGTGGAAAGACATCTCATATTCACAGTCAAAATCCTAGATGCCTTTTTTAGAGAAATTGATAAGCTGATCTAAAAATTCATGGGGACCCAAGAAAACTCAGAGGTCAAAACAATCCAGAAAAAGAAGAAAGTTGGAGGACTCATTCTGTAATTCCTGACTTCAAGACTTACTACAAAGCTGTGCTAATCAAGATAGTATGGTGCTGACAAGGACAGACACATGCATCAGCGGGACAGAATTGAGAGCTGAGAAATAAACCCTTTTGTTCGTGGTCAGTTGATTTTTGACAAGGGTGCCAAGACAATTCAATGGGGACAGAATAGTCTTTTCAAAAAATGGTGCTGGAACAACTGGATATTTGCATGCAAAAGAATGACCCTTACCTCACACTATATACAAAAATTAACTTAAATGGCTCAAAGGCCAGAAGTAAGAGCTAAGCTATAAAACTTTTAGAATAACAACACTGGCATAAATCCTCGTGACCTTGGGTTAGGGGATGGGTTCTTACTATGACACCCAAAGCACGAAGGATAAAAGAGATTGAGAAGTTGAACTTCATCAAAATTAAAAACTTTTGTGCTTCAAAGGACAACATAAAGAAAGTGAAAAGAAAACCCACGGAATGGCAGAATGTATTTGCAAACCATATATCCAACAAGGGACTGGTATCCATATGTAAAGAACTCTTACAACTCAATAATAAAAAGACAAATAACTCACTTGAAAAATGGGCAAAGGATAAGAATAGACATTTCTCCAAAGAAGACATACAAATGGCTCTGTAAGCACGTGAAAAGATGCTCAACATTAGCCATCTGGGAAATGCAAATCAAAACCACGATGAGATACCGCTGCATACCCACTAGGATGGCTGGAACCAAAAAGGACAAATGATAACAAGTGTCAGCTGTAAAATGCTGCAGCTGCAGTGGAAAACAGTTTGGTAGTTTCTCAAAAAGTTAAAGCAGAGTCATCATATGACCTAGCAGTTCCACTCCTGGGTACACATCCAAGAGAAATGAAAACATATGTCTCACACAAAAATTTATCAATTACTGCTCACAGCAATGTGATTCATAGCAGCTAGAGTGGAACCAACTCAAAGGTTCACCAGCTGGTGAAGGGGTAGATAAATATGGTCAATCCACGTGGCGGAATACTATGCAGCCATAAAAAGGAGTTGAAGATGATACAGGTTACAATATGGGTAAACCTGAAAATATTATGCTAAATAAAGGAAGCAAGACACAAAAGACTACATATTACAATACCCAATTTGTATGAAATGGCCAGAAAAGGTAAATTCTATAGTGACAGAAAGTAGATTAGAGGTTCCTTATGGCTGAGGGGAGGGGAGAATGGGGAGTAACTGCTAATGGGCATGGAGTGTCTTTTTGGGGTGATACAAATGTTCTAAAATTAGAGTCTGTAAATACACATAAAACCACTGAAGCATACACTTTATACAGGTGAGCTTTATGGTATCAGAATTATATCTCAACGAAGCTGTTAAGAAAAAACTCAGTATACGAAAAGTCTTCTCTCCACCCAGAGAAGGAGGAAGTCATTTCTGACTGGGGTGCGAGGAAGGGAAGGCATAGGGTGCATTCAGTGTTGGGGAGGGGCTGTCAGCTGATGCCTCCACCTCCCTGGGCCACACCCTCGGCCCACCTGGGATCTCCGCCAGCTGCAAGGTACAGCTCAGGCTCCCCCACCCCAAGTGACGCCCTCTCCCGTCAACAGGGCAGCGCACACACCTGTCTCTTTCTCCCCAGGAACCCTGGAGCTCCTGCCCCCGGGGCAGTGCCGAGCAAGTGCAAAAGGCCCGCCCCGCCCTCCCCAGTCTCCCGTGAGCTTGCAGGAGCCCATGCTGGGGTGGGGCCTCCTACCGTCGATGTAGGCCGGCATCTGCCCGAAGATGGTGAGGTATGACTGGTAGATGACCCCCCGGAAGATCCAGTCTACCCGGCTCTCGTTGTGGATGAGGATGGCCTGCTTGGCCACCCCGAAAGACACGACCCACACCGCCAGCAGGAAGATGAAAAAGAAGACGTCCTTCATCTGCAGAGACAGGGGACCCACTGCAGCTGCACACACCCCCAGTGCTCTCCCTGCCCCCAGGTGGGCTCCACCTGTGTACCCTGCAGTGGAGGGAGATGCCCACGGTGTGGACTCGTGGAGCCAGGAGCTCTGGGGGTCAGCCCTGGGCCTGTCCCCATACCCTAACGAGGTCCTGGGCACCCTGCGAGGTGTAGGAGAGGTCGGATGTGACCGTGACCCAAAGATGGGAGTGACAGGAACTGTAACAGGGATCAGGAATGAGTTGTGGAGATCAGGGAAGGCTGCCTGGAAGAGGCGACACACAGGCAAAGACCGGAGACAGGCACGCCAGGGGGTGGAAGCCCCAGGGGCAAAGCAGAGACATGGAAACTAGGAGTGTGCTTAAGCCCTGGGGCGCCTCACTTGCAACTGGCACCAGGGGCCCCCTCATCCACTTACCATCCGCTTCACGATGATTATCTTGGGCCCCAGCGTCTTACTGACAGTGAAAATGTGCATCAGACGGAGGCAGAACATGATGAAATCCAGAGAGAGGAGGACGCGCCCGGTGTACAGCAACGCTGGTATGAGCCTGGCCCCGGGCAGAAGCAGGGACCCCCTCAGCTGGCTGCCCAGGGCCTGTCTCAAGCCGCCCGCTCACCTGCCCGAGTCCACGTGTGGCCCTTGGAGGCAAAGGGCTCTGGCAGCCCCAGACCCAGAAGTATTAAAAACTGGGTGTGAGCTCGGGGGCAGAGCCTCGGTGGAGGCGTTCTCCAGAAAGGTCCAGAAGCCCAGCCTCAGGCAGGGTAGCCAGGGCTTGAGGGCATCCTGGGAACCAGGAGGCTGGGCTGGGTCCCTCTCACTCCAAGGAGAAAGGGGACCATGGCCCAGTAGACACAGATGGCCTTAAGGAGCAGTGGAAAGGCCTGGGGCCACTGCGGGAGGGAGCCACCGGGCTGGGACAATGCCCCCTGCATGTGGGCAGTCCTCTGAGGTGACAAGGAGCTCTCGCATCTCCTCCAGCAGTCCCCAGGGCTCACAGCGTCGCCCACTGGACAGACGACCAATGCATTCACAGGAGCTCAGCCTGCCAGGCGGCGCCAGCTACAACCCCAGTCCCGAGCCCACCCCTGTGGGGGCTGCTGCCTCGGTCAGGAGGGGTACCTCCAGGGGAGAAGGTGGGCGGATGCGCGGCCACTCACCTGCAGGTCAGTCCTACTATGAAGAGCAAGATGGCAATGATGTCCAGTTTATTCCAGAAGTCACTGAAGTACAAGAAGGCCCTCTTCCTCAGCCCGCACCCGTCAGGGTCGTAGAAGAGCTGCGAGGAGACGCATCAGGGAGGCCTGTGCTGTCAGTCACTCACCACCAACGGCAGTGAAGACACTGCTCCTTCCTCGGGGCGGCTGGGTGTGGAGGGGACGGGTTCCCATGGCCCCGGGGCCAGGGCAGGAGAGGCCGCCCTGACCCCAGCCCTGCTCAGTAGGCAAAGGCGTGCGCTGTGGGAGAGCCCCCTCCCCACGGCCAGGAGCCAGCCGCCCTCCACAGGAGCTTTGTTCCTGCCTCCTGCAGCAGCCCTGGGAGGAGGGTGGGACCCTGGGGAGCACCGTGGGAGCCCCTTTTGGCCTGCCTGGCAGGAGTCCCCACACCCTCCTCCAGGTACCAGACCCCAGACCCCAGCAGCTGCGGGGATGGTGCGGGCAGGAGGCCCCACGGGAACACCCAGGTCCCTTCCCTGGGACCTCAGGACAGATCGGGGAGGAGGGTGCGCCCTCTGTTCTGGGACGTCCAGCTGTGAGGCCGGGACTCAGAGCACGGAGCTTTGCCCGCCTCGTGGAGATGCTCTGGCTGCAGGAGGCCACACGGCCAGCGAGAGGAGAGCCAGTGCGACGCCACCAGCCCGGCCGCACCTCCTTGCTGGCAACCGTGAGGCCCCGGGCCCGACAGGAGGACAGGAGGCGATGGTGTTGATGCAGTGTGGACTAAGGGGGCCAGGGCCCACCGTGTGAACGTGCCCAAGTGGGTGCTCCCAGGGTGGGCGGGAGGAACCGGGGATCACAGCGAGGGAGGGAGGGAGCCACACCTGCCGCAACTCCTCGCAGGTGAGGGAGAAGAGCCAGAAGTAGATGACGTACTCGCAGTGTGAGGGCGTGGGCTGGAAGTCCACCATGAGCACGTAGGAGAAGAGGCAGAGGAAGAGGAAGTAGGACAGGATGTTCACGTGGAAGATGACCACGGGCGCGCTGAAGAAGGCGCGGACGCGGAGCAGGCCCCTCACGGCCTGCAGCCTCTTCTCCCTGCGGGGCGGGCATGGGGGAGGCAGCACAGAGGACCTCAGCCGCCCGCACAGCTGGGCGGGCAAGGCGCCCGGGGTCACGAGGCAGAGAAGGGAGGACCGGGATGCAGCTGAGTCCGTGCGCCACTGACCCCGCACACACAGCTACAACAGAGGGGCTCAACCAGGTGGCCCCGCAAAGGGAGGACCCCACAGAGCCCTGGGCTCTGGCTCTGTAAGGGCTGTGACAAACACTCAGGCCACGGTGGGTGCTCGGGGCACAGTGGGCGGTCAGCGCAAGCAGGTCAGTGCTGGGGGCTTCACACAGGTGAGGCCCCTCCCTCTGCCTCCTGCCCACAAGCATCTCTACCCTTCTAACATCCAGTCGCAGCCATAAGGACACGTGTGACTTGCCCCCAGCGAGGGCATTGGGGAACGAAGGTCTCGAGCCCCTGGCCCCGCCCGCAGCCCCACAGCCAGCAGGCACCTGAAGGAGATGAGGTGGGTGCAGAGCAGCGGGAAGGCCAGCATGCACAGGATCACCCGCCAGAGCCCATTGTCCACGCAGAGCTGGCCCCACCACACCTTGGTCAGGAAGGCCTGCGGACAGAGGAGTGGCTTCGTGACGGGCGGCACCCGCACCCCACCCTGACCCTGCGCCCCCTGCAACCCACCCCTAAGAGTGAATGACGTGTCTGCTCTGGGCGAAGGGACTCCAGGGGCTCAAGCACAGCGCTCTCTGAGATGCAGTGGGCAGCACAGGACAGGTGCTCTGCCTGCTGAGGAAGAGGCTCCAGGTGGGCAGAGCCCGGCCAGGGTGTCCCAGAGGCAAGTGGCAGAGAGACAGGGCTCGAACTCAGGGTTTCTGCTCCAGAGCCCATCTTCCTCCCACCGTAGCTGCAGGACCCCAGCTCTCATCAGCTGGCCCCTCTAAGCTGTTCATGTGTGTGTCAGGGGGACGGGGGGACAGGACTCCTCCCCACCACGTCCCCAGGCCCAGGCACAGCCCGGCACACGATGGTGCTGCATGGACATGAAGCCGTGCTCCAAGGAAGCGCTGGCATCCCAGGGGCACCTGCCGCGTGCCAGGCCTGCCGTGGGCATGGAGGCAACACCAGGCTCCTGCCCTTGGCACTCCAGGAGGACGCCCTGCCCCCTCCCGAAGATCCCTCCCCAGGCCCCAGGTCGGGGGGCTGACGTGAGCCATGCCCTCGTGACCACCACCCCCTCTCACTTAGAGTCAATTTCCTCATCGGCAAAATGGGAGGCGGGAGGGTCTGCTGGGTCTGCTCACGCCACCAACCGGCCAGTGCTGTCCCTGGGTCCCTGAGGGACCCAAAGCTCGTGAACGCGTGCGCCATGTCTGTGAGTGGGAGGCTGCATCCGGCCCGACAGCACCACGGGAGGCTGTTTCTGGAAGCGGGCCCTCAGAAAGTCACCTGGACACCCCCGTGGGACATGAACTTCATGTCCTTGGCCTCCAGGGCCAGCTGCAGGCAGGTGGTCGTGCCCCAGGCCTGGGACACTCGGACGAGCAGTTTCTGTGCTCTCTCTTCATCCTTGCGGTAGCACTCGGTGAAGACTCCTGCACGGAGAAGGAAGATCCATGTCACAGAGGCAGAGTCCCAGTCACTGATACCTGGGGACAGTGTCAGAGTGTGGCCTCTCCAGATGGCACAGCCTGGACAGCAATAGGGGCTGAGACCTGGACAAGGACCCCAGGGTGACACAGCATGACATGAGGGGCTGAGACCTGGACAAGTACCCCAGGGTGACACAGC